CTATACTATCTAACTATCTATCTATCTATTTCTCTATATCTATCTATCCATCTATCTATTTATCTATCTGTCTATCTATTTATCCACCTATATCTATCTCTATATCTATCTATCTATCTATTTATCCATCTATCTTTTTTCTTCCTATGTATCATTGCAACCTATCCTGTTCTATCCATATTTCTTGCAAATGTAAACAGTTAATATTACATTAATTTTTATATTAAAATATATTTTTTGTACTATAACATGCTGAATTAATAATTAATAAAATTCAACAGGTTATACTATAAAAACAAACACTTACGTAAAAAAATTATTATATTATTAAAAAGTTTGCATTTATTTTTTGACGGAGATCACCATTTTCTCGCGGTTTCCGTTGAGCAACAATATGCACGTTATCTATTCGTAAAATTAAATAATAAAGTCGTAATTGAAATATGATAATAAAACTAATTTCTTCTTTTACTAGACTAAATTTATTTTTGCTACGAAAAGAAAAATGTAACAATGGAATATCTTTTACAAAACAAATAACATTTCATTTAATTTTTAATTTAAATTTATTAGCATAAATAAATTATTCTGTCATATACTTTAATAACAAATCATTTTTAAAAGATGTATATATTGGCTAAGAGTGGATTTCTATTAACTTTTCGTCTCTCATTATAATTCTCTCTTCTTTATTTGTGCATTAATACTAAATATTCTTTATATACATATACACTATATATGTGTCATTTATTTATATATATATATTGTCATGTAATTAATATTAACCAAGCCGTAAGAACACGAGAAGAGAGGAAGAGCGAGCAAGTGCGCGAGAGAGAGAAAGAACGAGCGAGAGAGAGAGAGAAAGAGTGAGGTATAGGAGTAGCGAGAAAAATCTCGCGGCTCACGCAGTCAATAAGCTAGACGAGCGGAAAAGAAACAGATAATATGTCGACGCTCGTCTAGTCTCCCATGTGCTACCTTGCGTGCATGAAAAATAATTCCTCGCTTCGCACGTTCCCTTGACACGAGACGCTACCGCGTCTCTTGATGTCTCTGGAGCGTGAAAGATGAAAGAAAAGCGGAGAGATGTTCGCTTAGCGATAAGATCGCCGCTACCTCGCCTCGTGTTTACTGCCGCGCGCCGCTCAGTAGTGAGACAAAGACGGAACGATTGTCTGTCGTCTGTCTTTTTCTAATCTACTATCCATTGCATGGAAGTAGTACGGACACGCACCTAGGCGCATTTTACTTTTATCACCGTGAAAGTGCGCCTAGCGGACGTAGTTTAGGCGCATTTTGGTCAGATGGCGTCTCTAAAATGCGTCTAGCCGTATCCCCCGAAATGCGGCCGGTGGCCGCTCTCATTCTTCTCTCTGGTTACACAGTGTCGACTTGTAGCTGGAACCACGGTCTTGAATACAGGTCGGGAAACTCCTACCTTTTTTTGGTGGTGGGGGTGACTCGCTTAGTGGCGATATTTTTGGTTCGCCTTCTAACCGCGCACGCCGCTGCGTTGCAAGAACTTTTTGTCACGCATGCGCGTTGTAATAAATGTAAAATGAAAAAAGTATATGTATCTTGTTAGCTGAAAAATGTGAATGAGTGGTAGCATGAGATCCTTGCACTCTTACCGTTTTTAGTTCGATTCCGGTTAATGTATTTTTAACAAATATTTTACGAAAAGTAAGAAAATGTGTTATTTAATTATTACGTATTGTAATTATGTAAAAGACATATATTATGTTTACGCGAGCGTTACTTTTGTAGTATCTTACTTAAATTATTGTAACTTATGATAATTTACTCTGCATAAACGGGATTCTATTCAATAAATCCCCGTTTACGCGGAGTGAATTATCGTAAGTTGCGATAATTCGAATAAGTTACTACAGAAGTAACGCTCGCGTAAACATAGTAGTAATAGTACTATCCCGCGATATTCGTAAAGTGAAATAAAATAATAAATCACTCCCGTTGTACATAGAAATAATGTTTATTTATCATATTGAGGTAAATGCAGAGGTAATAAATGTGAATTAATGAAAGATGTGATTACTTTTTGAAATAGCAATCCATTTCCGCTTTTTATTCACAGAGTAAATGTTAACAATTATAATTACATTTATTTATCATGCAATGTTATAAACTTATCGAAATAGTTCATCGATTTGTAAGTTTTGATAATTTTTTTTTCTGTACAAATACTTTTTTCTTCTTTTCATTTTCTTGAAATGTAAACTGTCTCATTCTCATTCGAATGTAATATTGGAGTGTATATGACAGGAGATGTGAGGCATGTGTTTTGCTGAAGTTATTATTTCCATCAACGTATTTTGCATTGTTTTTGGTATATTCAAGGAAACATATTTTTTCTCCAATGTTTCGTCCTGAATATTTGCCAGCTCGTTTTGCTTAGAGATAAACTGATCTTGCAACAAGGCGATTCGAATTTTTGATCGATTTTTCATTCGACGCGTTACGCTCAATTTTTTTCTCAAGGCATTTATTTTCTTAAGATCAATTGGATTTGTGGTTCCCACGACTCTTTTTACTTGATCACGCTTTTTAAAACGTGCCTTTTTTTGCAGCAACGTGTTTTTCAATATTGTGCAACGTTTGCACCTTTTCGTTTTGGTGGTTAATTCACAATCGGTATGATGCCAAACATTGCAAGAAGTTCGATACGCGATGTCTCGTTGAATAAGACATTCTTCAACTGGACCAACTCCTTGACAAACTGGCATGCTTTCGAATTTCGACAAAACGGCATGTAGCGACGTTACATCGTTCATATTTTGCAAGATCTTAATTTCTTGAATGTCGACCGATTTTCCAAAAATCTTGTAATCAATTGTGCCGTCTACGTCGTCGATTATGACACTTTTGTCTATAATAGGACCATCTGTGTCATTATTGGTCATCAACCATACGTGTGAGAATATCAAATACCGTTTTGTTCCTCTGTACGACTCGGTGAAACTCCACGACTTTGGTATTGTGATTAACGAATCTTTGTACGCTAAAACATATAAAATATATATGTAATGATATTATTCGTATTATCAGACCTTAAATCTTATAATCCCTGCAAACGTTCGTACCAATACTATATTTGTTCATTTTTATATATAGTTAATGTAGATACAATAATAGCAACACTTACACGCCATGCTGATACTTTTCATGAGCTTTAGGTCAACCGAGTCCGATATTCTCTCACAATCAGTGAAATCATTTGTTTCTTTTTTGCTTTGCTGGCAATCAATTGCACTCAAATTCTCTGTATTGACATTCGTGCTTTCAGAGAGCAAAAACTCGTCAATATCATCGGCTGTAACAGAGTGTATAATATAATAGCTATTACGAAAATAGCATCATGGAATGGCTGCATACAGTAGGAATCAATTGCTGGATTGCTATTTGAATTCGTGGAATACAATAAAGCATGATAATATTTACTTGTCACATCAACAGACTGTGGAATAGGCAATGTGATTTCGATGGATTTTGATAGTGTACAATGCACGTCTGAGTTAAGCGATCCATTACTCGCAGCATCTACACCCAACTTTTCTTCCTGCAAATCCTCGTCCTTGGAAACTAACGTAGTCGAGGAAAACTCATAGAAAATCGTGGGCACAGCAGATTTAAATAAACGAGTTCGCAGGTACTTAGCCTGAACAAATTACATAAAATCAACTTATACAAATTGGGTATCTGATTTTTAAAGTCTGGAAATCGAGATACACTGAGACTACTATATCTAGCTCTTAATTATCTTTTTTAAATTTCTTTAAACCTCAGGATAAGATTACTAGTCACATAAGTCTTGAATTATAGTGTCAATACATAGATATATTATTAAAATTTCTTTTGACGCGACAGAATATTTTTTTTCATAACTGAGCTTACCTCGGTTACCACGTTTCCTTGTGCATCGCGCATTACGAGCTCCCTTATTATACTTGCTTTATCAAAATGTTTTTCACATACGCATTGGTTGGGTTTCAGGTCCTTTATGCCAGGGATTGCAGATATCCATTTTTTACGCAATTCGTCGCATTTTGGCACTTTAAAAACTGAACACTTCACTGCGACACTTTTGCATCCAGTCTTGCATTTCGGCACGACACAATACTTTGTCATTGTTAATTCACTACGACTTTGTGCGCTTGTTACACTGTATTTCGCTGGGTAAACCCAAGTTTGCAATGACCAAATTGCGATAACCTTCTATATAAATTATCATTAACTCCGCAATGACAGCCGCTCACGAAGTTAGCGCAGCGAGATAGCACTCTTAACTTACAGCGCTCCAAGTGGTGATAGTGTCAACTAAAAATGCCTTCACTAAGCGGGTCACCCCCTCCATAGGAGTTTCCCGACCTGTATTCAAGACCGTGGCTGGAACGCTGCTTAGCTTTTTTCTTTCACCGTTAGAGTGCAGGGCAGTTACTTTATATATCTTGTTACTAGTTTGCAATGCAAACAGACATATGTCAATAATTTAAAATAATAATCTAAATCGTTACAAGATACTTTCTTATAAGTTATATAAAGGTTAGTGTTTTTTAACAAAATTTTCTTATAAATTAGCTTATTTATCAAATATATAGAAGAGAATGATTAAAAAAATCTTATTAAATTATGTACATTAAATTATTATGGAAAAGTAATCAATTAAATAAATATATTTTTTATAATACTATTTTTAATATTAATTAAATATAACATGTTTTATTTTATCTTTTCACTTTATTTAATTTTATATTATTAAAAAAATTAATAGTTTTATTAATTAATTAAGTAATTTTAATATAGATGAATGGGAAGGAAAAGATAGTTATTAATCTTGTACTGGAGAGTATGATAAACACCAGTGCAAGCGCAGAAGACTCAAGCAACAGTGAAATAGACTGGAACAATAGTAGTCTTTCAATTGATGATACATCTTTCAGTAGTGAAGAAAACGATGGTTATTTATTATTGTTTCCTTTAATGAAATATTTAATCAGTGGGTGTAAAAGACATCGAGTTGAAGATTATCTTCATGTTGTGGATAGTTGGACAGATTTAGAATTTAAAGAGCACTTGCGAATTAAGCGTAATTTAGCAATTCGATTAATAGGTAATATTCATTTTAAATATCAAATAATTTATATTTTTAAACATGATTTTATAATATTTAAAACGTATAATTCTTTATATATTCTAGATGAATTGCATGAAAGTGGATTTATTCCTTCTCATTCGTTTGGAGTGAGACCAATTGAAGCGAAACTCAGCTTTCTTATATTTTTGTGGCACTTGGCAAATACAGAACCTCTACGAACAATATCAGATAGATTTGACGTTTCAATTTCATCTGTCTTTCGAGTAATTCGCCGAGTGACAGCTTGGATATTGATAAAATTAGACGACGTTATTAAATGGCCCGAAGGACAACACGTCGCATATGTTTGTCATCAGTTTTATGCTAAAAGAGGCATTCCAAATATAATGGGGGCTATTGACTGCACTCAAATTAAAATAGAGAAACCTAATGTGGAGAATGCAAGAGATTATTGTAACCGGAAAAAATACTTTTCTGTAAGCCTACAAGCTGTTGTAGATGCGGATATGAAATTCATTAACATATACTGTGGTCAGCCAGGTTCTCTCCATGATGCACGAGTCTTGAGAAAATCTGCATTATACAATTCAGTTAATGAACATAGAGAAGTAATTTTTCCAGATGAAAAATTTATAATAGGAGACTCTGCATATCCGTCTTTACAATGGCTTGTTCCTCCTTTTCGTGATAACGGTCATCTTACTCCTCTTCAGACCGAATTTAATTTCATACTTTCTTCAACGCGTATGGCTGTAGAAAAAGCATTTGGTTATCTGAAAGGACGTTTTCGACGAATAAATTTTTTTTCGGAATACCGTGAAATGTCGTTTATTACAAATACAATTGTAGCTGCATGTATCTTACATAATTTATGTTTGAATTATGACGATGATAATGTCGATTATGATGATGTCGAAATGGAGGAACTGAATGATAATATTTATGATAATGTAAATGGAAATATTAATTTTGGACATCAAATAGATCGAAGGATGTAATTATTGAGGGAAATATTTGACCAGGAATAAACAATGTACACTGATTATTATATTGGTTTTATTTATTTTATTATATTATACCCAGGCAGCAAGCCTAGGTTATTTGTTATTAAAATAAATGTATCATATAATACAATAAATAATTTGCTAACCATTCTCATGCTAAGGCTTTTATATTTATTCAATGTCTAAAAATGTTAATACACATATATTTTTACATCCTGCAATATAAATGTTATATTTTATAATGCAATTAAAAATCTATTGACGTCTAAAGACGTCAATAATACTTCATTAAAATGTCTTTAGACATCTTTAGACATTATTTTGCTACCTGAGTAATCAAATAATAAAAAAGTACTAAATACCTTCCATGGTTCTAATATATCTCCTCACTTTTCTTCTTAGTTGTAGGTGTATCCTCATGTCCTTTACATCTCAATATAACCTTAAAAATGTTTACCTCCTATCAGAATTACCACTCCGTAGAAAAATAAATGGTATCAGATTTAAAAATGTTGGTATTCATGGAGTGACAACATAGTCGAACACAGCATTTTAGCTGTGTCCAATTGTATCGACTTGTGTCGTAGTTGGAAAGCACTGAGTCGGACACTGTGTTACACAGTGTCACTTGTGTACGTTGCTGGAAAGTACCCGATATTCTTGAATGAATGAGATGCATCGCATGCGAGAAAATATCGAATGATTCATATCGAGTGGTATAACCCAAGCGATATGCAAGTCGCATACGATAAATCTAGTAATAAAAGCGCTGTTTTCGACAAAAATGAGGTTATACAATGTGAGTGAGGTGAATTAAATTAATTGTTTTGCAATGAATATGGCATATCAAAATGCTGTGCAACTTCATATCGCTGAACAATTGGAAAATATTTTCGATTATAATGGAAGACCGCGTTTTCATATAAGGGATGATCCATTTGAATTATCAGAACGACAGTTCATAAATCTTTTTCGATTGAAAAAAGAAACAGCAAACAGACTTATTAATATTGTGGAAGACAATTTTGTAGAACCATCACGATCTTCAGCTTTGGACGCGACTGTACAAGTGCGTACAACACATGCAGAATATAAATTATTTGATATAATTATTTAATAAAATTATTGTAGGTTTTAGTTGCATTACACTTTTATGGATCAGGCAGCTATCAGAATTGCATAGGAAAAAATATTCACATGGCTATTAGTCAACCTTCGGTTAGCAGATGTGTTCGAAATGTGACTAACATTCTTAATTTACCAGAAATATTCAACGATTGGGTGTGTTTTTCTAACACCTTTCAGAAGCTGCAACAACTACGTAACAAGTTAGTATATATTCAGAAAAATTAAATAGGATAATGTGTATATAATTATGGTCTGTCTGATCTCTATGACCTGTATTCTGAGCTCTCTTTTATTGATAAAAGCGCCTCTAAAAATGGCATATAACCCTTGTGATTGGCTATAAGCCACTTTTAGAGGCATTTTTAGCGATAAAAAAGAGAGCTCAGAATGCGGGCTTATGACATTGGGTACTTTCCATTTAGCGATACAAGTTGACTCAAGCATCATTTTATCTTTGTTCTACATTTTATGAGAAAAAAGATAGAATGATACTTGTGTTGATTTGTGTTGCTAAATGGAAAGCACCCATTGTATATATATATATATATATATATATATATATATATATAATATAATCATACGTATTTATTATGTATATTATTTATATTATATGATAGATTATTATATTATATATAGATTATGTTATATGCACAGTACCCGTCATTAATTTATTCCGTTCCTTTAGTGAATGTATATAGGATGTGTAACACATTCTATAGAAAATTGCTAGGGGAACGAAACGAATTAATGACAGACAGTGTACATATATATAGATTTTGGATTAATCATCGTTTTCCTGGAGCGATTGGTTGTATAGACTGCACTCATGTTGCAATTGTTTCACCTCCTAAAGAAGATGAGAACTATCCTGAACATATACAGGGTGCACGATTTATCTGAAGACATTGAAATATCTCGAGAACTATGCATTGGATAAAAAAAGTGATTAATGAAAGTTGTTAGTCTCGAAGGGGGACATCCAATGATACCAAACTCGACCTCCCACCCCACCCCTTGGGGGCAACTTTGAAATCTTAAATGGAAATCCTCATTTTTTATTGCAGATACGGATTCTACGCCACAAAATACGTAAATTTTATCCGAAACTTTTTTTTTGATTCGTGATAGATGGCGCTGTAATCGCAAAAAATTATATTTTCCGCAATTCTCCAGAAATGATCATTGGATTGAGAAATAAAAAATACCTGTTCAATATTTTTAAAGAACATAATAAAAGTTATCCCCCCCCATCCTCTCGGGGTAGGGTGGGTGATAACGTTCAAATCTCAAATGGGAATCCGAATCGAAGAGGGAACTGCTCAACGCGCCACTGTGGGTGTATGGCGAACTACGGCTTATTATAAAAGGCAGTACAATGTGGTCAGAGCTCACTTTTCTTTCAGAATTAGAACTGAAAGCATCTCTAACAATTTCATTTTATTTAACTAGTTTTTATTACCTGCATATCTATCCTTCATTCTTTGAACAGAATTGCAAGTAGAAAATGAATTCTGCAACCGTAGAAGAAAAAATTGAAATGATTCTGATTTATGGTGAATGTAGGAGGAATGTTGACGATGCTGTTGCCTTGTATGCTGAGCGTTTTCCAGACAATGTTCGCTCACGTTCTTTTTTTTACAAAGTTGTGACTGCCTTTATCTCGGATGGCAGCGTACAAACTAAAAAAAGAAAACGAAGAACAACTGTTACAGGAGAAGTTAATGAAATAGCTGTTCACCACAACCCACAGGTAAGCACTCGGCAATTACATCGCGATTTCGGAATTTCCGGAGATAGTATTCGCAGAATATTGCATCGTCATAAGTATCACCCATATCACATTTCACTGCATCAAGAACTTCATGGCGATGATTTTCATAATCGAGTGGTGTTTTGTGAATGGGCACTTCAACAAATGCAAACGAACCCCAATTTCATTGCTAATGTACTATTTTCAAATGAGTCTACATTCACAAACCATGGTGGCGTTAATCGACATAACATGCATTACTGGAGTAGAAAATCCCCACTGGTTATGACAAGTTGAACATCAACGTCCTTGGTCGGTTAACGTTTGGTGTGGAATCATAGGGAACAGACTCATTTTATTGAAGGTCTTTATTTTATTGAAGGTAATTTGAATGGAATCAAATATCGAAATTTCCTGGAACAGGAACTACCACCACTACTTGATGTTGCCTTGGACGTTCGACAAAGTATGTGGTTTCAGCATGACGGTTGCCCAGCGCATAACAATAGCAGCACGGGAAGTATTATACCGTGATTACAATGGTCGGTGGATTGGCAGAGGTGGCCCGATTAATTGGCCTGCTAGGTCGCCTGATTTGACATCGCCGGATTTCTTTCTGTGGGGTTACCTAAAAGATAAGGTTTATCAACAAGTGCCAACAACTCGTGAAAACATGGTAGAACGCATAAGAAACGCTTGCGCTGAAACTCCCGCAGATATGCTTCTATCCTGTGTACAGTTATTTGAAAAAAGGATCAATAAGTGTATTGAAGTTGAAGGTAAAAATTTCGAACACTTACTCTAATTAATTGAACAGTGAGAGGCAAGGGGACTCACATTAAAAAAGCACCCGAAGGGAACATAAAACTACTCCTCGTCGTTGTTCCTGTGTAACGCTAAAAGTAGTTTCTCGGAAAAATTCAACGCTATCTATCACGAATGAAAAAAATTGTTTCAATAAAAATTTCACGTACAATCTAATTCTGCAATGAAAAATGTGGGTCTCCATTTGAGATTTGAACGTTATCACCCACCCTACCCCGAGAGGATGGGGGGGGATAACTTTTATTATGTTCTTTAAAAATATTGAACAGGTATTTTTTATTTCTCAATCCAATGATCATTTCTGGAGAATTGCGGAAAATATAATTTTTTGCGATTACAGCGCCATCTATCACGAATAAAAAAAAAAGTTTCGGACAAAATTTACGTATTTGTAACGACGCAAAATCTTTACGCCGTTACGCTGACTGCTGCCTAACAGCACGCGGCAGTCAGCTGAGCGCACACCCCCCGACCCGCGCTGTCACCGCGCCTAGACGTCGCGCTCAGCCGAACATGCCCGACCACTAGGCAACAACGCTCGGGCACGGTCGGCCGCCGAGCCGAGCCAGCGGCACCGCCGAAGCTATCTTCGGCAAACGCCGCATAATCACGATTAATTCCGATTAAAAAACGGAATTAACTCCGATTAAGGGCGAAGAAAACCGAAACCCCAAAATCTCGGGTATATAATCCCGGCAGATTTTGACGAAAGGGAAGTCTCCAGAGTTCCGTCTCCGCAGATAGTTCTTTCCGAGAGAGGATCAACCGAGAAGCTCCTGCCGAATTCGACCCCGGGAAGGCAAGAGCTGATCAGCTAGGATTTAGCACATCAACCCAGCGCGCAAGGAACACTTATGTCACCCGCCCCCTCGACCACCAAGGCGGTCGACACTGCGGCCGAGGATAAAAACGAGCGCGACGTGTCGCGACGCGTTCTTGTACCGGTTTTTGCGACCCGTCGTCAAGTCGCGTGCCGAATCACCCAAACTCGCGCTTTAAATCACGGCAGAAACACCAGCAGCGCATATTATGGGTTCGGGGCGCACACCGCGCGATCACTAATCGGTGGCTCTACACTCACCGTCTGTAGGAATCAAGCGCCGTACGAGATGCTTGCGTAATTAAGCGTCAAGTAAACAAGTGAGGCGCCGCCTCACAATTGTGACCCCGCGTGGATCGTAGCGACCGCGGAAATAACTCGCACGATCACCGAACACCTAAACATTGGGACGCCGCGTCACGGCACGCGGTCGTAGCGTGCAAATAAAAACTTATTGTGTTATACTTATTTGTCTTCTCTTATTGACACGCACACATACACACACACCTTCACCTAAGAATCTTTCCTGTGGTCGGCTCGCAGCCAACGATCCAATCCACAGGGCCGGATCAACCCGAAAAAAAACCGAGCCTAGAGGCGCGACCGTTACATATTTTGTGGCGTAGAATCCGTATCTGCAATAAAAAATGGGGATTCTATTTAAGATTTCAAAGTTGCCCCCAAGGGGTGGGGTGGGAGGTCGAGTTTGGTATCATTGGATGTCCCCCTTCGAGACTAACAACTTTCATTAACCACTTTTTTTTATCCAATGCATAGTTCTCGAGATATTTCAATGTCTTCAGATAAATCGTGCACCCTGTATACATAAATAGAAAAGGATATCATTCTATTAATGTACAATTGGTAAGATTGTGCATTAACACAATTTAATTAGATATATTATTATACAAATTCAATTAGATATATTATTATACAAATAATACAAATATAGCTTTCTTTGCAGATATGTGATTCTGATCTTAAGATAATGAATGTTAATGCCAGATATCCTGGAAGTACTCACGATTCGTATATCTGGAATAATAGTAATGTTCTTCCTATTATGCAAGATATTTACAATCGTGGACACAGCTTTTTTTTATTAGGTAATATATAATCGTCAAAGTGATTATTCAATATTATTTTTAGTTACAATATATAACATTATATTGCTTTACAGGTGATTCTGGTTATGCTCTTAGACCTTGGATGATGACTCCAATAATGGACAATAATCCTAATATTGGAACAAGTAGATACAATGATCGGCAAAAGAGCACTAGATCACTTATTGAACGTTGCAATGGTGTCTTGAAGATGAGATTTCGTTGCTTGTTTGTAACGCCGGTGCCTCCGGGTTCGATTTTTCTTTCGTCGATCCGACCCCTGCGTCGCGATCGTCGTTAGCGAATCGCGCGCAGAAGTTTTTATTAGGAGAAGGTGATTTTTCGTTGAATGATTAAAGTCGATCGGTTTTGTTGATAGAGACGCTTTATTGTGTCGTTTCAGCACGCAATGACCGCGTGTTATTTTCGCGAGGTTCCCCAATGTTTGGGTACCGCTTCAACGTGCGATGTTGTCTCGCTTCGGCTTGTCGTCGCAGCGAACGGCCGTATTCCGCTGATGATGGTTCGGTTAGGTGCGTGACTGTCGCTTCGTTAACAGTAATTATTTTAACATACAGACAGTTCCGCAGATGGGAAATAAGAAAATTCGCGACCGTGTCTAAAATAGCGATTTCGTGCGGGCGTTATTGCAGGCGTTACTCGGATTTAAATGCTCGGGTGTAATGCTTGGTTACGTCGGACGCTTGCTATACATAAGAACCCGCGCAAAAACGCGTCGCGTCGGGCCGCGTTATCGCTTGCGGTGCGTACACAGTAGGTAGGCCGTTCGTCGCGCGTGAGACTGGCGATTGTTTTTCCCGTGAATCGTTGAAATTACTTGCTTCGCGTCGCGCGATTTTCGTTGACGAAAGAGGTTCGCTAAGTCCTGCGGCTTGATCCCCCGGGTTCTACGAGTTGCGGGTGTTAGGCGATTTCTCTTTGTCTGGAGGTCGCGATGCGCGTTGTTGACGGAGTTATGCCGGGTCGGCGGCCGCGCCGGCTAGTCGGTAGGTGTGGGTGACGACTCCGTCTGCTCCTTTCATCCTTTCGTATTCTGAGTCCTAGAGGAAGTAGAGAGGAAGAAACAAAAGAAAGATATTTATGAGAGCGTTCCGGAGAACACACCGGAGTAACGGCAAACTCGCCGTTCGATCTCTGAATCGTGAAGACGGCACAAAATAAGATCGTTCCGGTGAACACACCGGAGCGACGGCAAACTCGCCGTCCGATCTCTATATCGCAAAGACGGCACAAAATAAGATCGTTTCGGTGAACACACCGGAGTAACGGCAAATTCGCCGTTCGACCTTTATATCGCAAAGACGGCACAGAATAAGATCGTTCCGGTGAACACATCGGAGTAACGGCAAACTCGCCGTTCGACCTGTATATCGCAAAGACGGCACAGAATAAGATCGTTCCGGTGAATACACCGAAGTAACGGCAAACGCGCCGTTCGATCTTTATATCGCAAAGACGGCACAAAACAAGATCGTTCCGGTGAACACACCGGGGCGACGGCAAACTCGCCGTCCGAGCTCTATCTCGCAAAGACGGCACAAAACAAGATCGTTCCGGTGAACACACCGGAGCGACGGCAAACTCGCCGTCCGATCTCTATATCGCAAAGACGGCACAAAATAAGATCGTTCCGGTGAATACACCGGAGCGACGGCAAACTTGCCGTCCGATCTCTATCTCGCAAAGACGGCACACAATAAGATCGTTCCGGAGAACACACTGGAGTGACGGCAAACTCGCCGTCCGATCTCTATATCGCAAAGACGGCACAAAATAAGATCGTTCCGGTGAACACACCGGAGCGACGGCAAACTCGCCGTCCGATCTCTATATCGCAAAGAACAAGGAGTAATTGCGGATGCCGACGGCTGCGGCCTGGTAGATTACTTACTCGCACTCTCGATTTTCCTGAATGCTTTCTGCGGACTTTCTGACGGCTATTCCTAGATGACGGACTTCCTCAGATGCTTCAAAGACTCCTCAAAGACTGCTTGAAGCTTGTCCCCAAGACTCGACTGACTCAAGACAAGAACTGTCGGGTTTATATATCCGTCATTTCTGTCTTCGGTTTCTTTCGTTTATTAATCCGAATTTGATCGAGATTAATCGTGAGTATGCGACGTTCGCCGAGGATCGTTTTGGCGGCGTCGCGAGTTCGGCTCGGTGGCCGATCATTCCCGAGCGTTGCTGTTGGGTCTTCGGCCAGCCTCGGGTGAGCGCGTTGAAAGGCGCTGTGACAGCGCGGGTCGGGGGGGTGTGCGCTCAGCTGACTGCCGCGTGATGTTCAGCGGCAGTCAGCGTAATGACACATGTGCCGGTAAAGCTAAGACTCCATGCATGCGGTGAGCTCCGGCAAACGGCTGCGGTGACCAATCAGGAGACAGACGCATGCCGGAGCTTGCCGCAACCGGACTTGCGCCTCCCTCCTGATTGGTCACCGCAGCATTTGCCGCAGCTCACCGCATGCATGGAGTCTTAGCTTAAGTGTCGTTACATGTTGAAACAGAATTTTACATTATCGACCAGATGTATGCTCGAAAATTATCAATGCTTGTACCGTGTTACATAATATGTGCATTCACGACACGTGCCTTTACCCGAAGCAGATCATGAAATATTGGATTTTGGTATGAATGTTATAGATGGTGTAAACTAACCCGGGATATATATGTTAAATAGAAATAACGAACTGATAGCTGGACGAAGAATTCGCAATAATCTAATAAGACAGCATTTCTCCTGACAATATTTTGTACCTTTTACACATGTATTATATATATACATATTTGTATTTTATTATTGTAACAAGTTTTGGCAATAAATAATATTTTTGTAAACATTTGCTTGATTTCTTTTGGCAATATTCTTTATAATAACAAACATATAAAATGAACATAAAATAAATGTCTTATCTTTAAGTTTTTCCTTTATAATAGCAAATACACAAAATGAACATAAAATAAATCTATTATCTTAGTTTTTTAACTTATGTAACAATTTGTACACATCAACAGCTTATAGGAACATTTATTTCTTTGTGAATACACTAATGTCATTTTCACAGCCTATATCTTATATCTGTAACTCTTTAATTGCTTTTTTTTACTAATTGCTCCAGCAATGTGCATATATTTTCTTTGATATTGATATCTTTTTCTTTCAGAGCTATTTTCTTCTTATAAAGTTTTAATTTCTATGCGTAATATGATTTTCGTATCTCGCTATCTTCCTGCGAAATTTTCGCTAACTTTTCAGTTTGTTCAATTGATTTATCATATCTTTGTGCAGCAGAAATTCTTTTAACACCTCTTTGTATGCCACTCGATTTTGAAGCTGGTGTTACAGAAATATCTGATATGTTGTTGACTACACTAATTGGTGTTTCTAGTGGTTGTTTCCATTTTTTTTAAAGATTTCCTATTGTTATTGTCATTATCATTGTTTAAGTTTTCTTCTGGTGAGTTTTCTTCCAATATACTGTAATAATCTTGAGAAGATAATGACTGTTGTGACACAGATTGCTACGTTATTTCTTGACTTTTGTATTTTATGGGAAAATTGTCCCTATTTTCATCAACATCGATTTCACATACAATTGAATCATCTATCCACTCTTGCAAAAAATATCAATGTACACGCATACTTTCTGTTAATATTTAATATTATAATTTCTTAATATATTTCTGATATTATAATACAATACAACAAAGATGCTTACAATTTGCACGTTGGATTCTTGCACTGTCTTATGTCCTCCCACAACTGTTGTACCCATAATTGCCAGGACATTTTGATCCATTTCGGTTAAAACCTGACTTGACGCAGGCCCTCCACCAGTTGCTTTTGCATGATTCTTGATCAAAATATTTTTGGCTTTAATGGAACTTCGCATGTCTTGCCAAGTCTATGATATGGACACAAAGTAGACAATCAGATTATTTAAAGTATATAATCTTTTTTCTGTACAAAGAAATCTAGGTATTTGTCAATATAATACATACCTTTCGTCATTGTTTCCACTCTTTTTGTGCACCAGGTATCTCATGTAATTCTGCTGTTACTTTTTCCCATAATTTTTGAGCATGTTTAAAAGTAAACGTTACAGAAAACTTTCCACTATGTAGTCCCGGATGTTTACGCATAAATTCTGCAATTTAAATATATATTATAGAGCACTAAAAAGAGTATTGAAAGATTAATAAATAATAGTTACTATCAGTCTGTCAAACAGCTATTACTCATTATTTGTTGACCCATTAAATGTCTTTAAATACAAGTTGCAAATTTTTAATATAAATAAGCTCAGTTTAATATAATAAGCTCAGTTTAATATAAATAAAGCCAGCGGCACACGATGCTTGTTTTCGTGCTGGATTAAATGGCTGGTTGCTTGCTGGATGAAAATACTGCGTTTTGATTGGTACTTTTCCGAAGATGGATGGAAATGCACCAATCAGAACGCAGTATTTTCATCCAGCAAGCAATCCAGCACGAAAACAAGCACCGTGTGCTGCTGGCTTAAGCAGAGTTGACTGACAGTTTAAAGCAATTTCATTAGACTTACATATTGAAAATAATACTTACCAACTAACAAATTTTTCTGTTCTTCATTAACATATGTACATCGTTTCTCTACTTCATTTGACGCCAATGCCATTTTAAATCAATGTTAACTGTTAATACTTTTTTAACTATAATCAAATTTGCACTTCAAATAAAATATATCACAGAAATTTTTGTAAAGAGTTGAGCTGCGTTGTTTGGATTTAGGCTGAGTTCCGAAATTCGCTGCCAGTATTCAAGAAAATACGCGACATAAATTATAGATGTTCAGTACGCAGTGACTTTCAGAACACAGCTTTTATCACATACGAAATTTATCGCACACCTCATATCGCATGATAGCTCAGAATACCATTTTGAAGTCGCATACGATACTGACCGTGAGATATTTTCCGCATGCGATAATTATCGCATGAATTTAAGAATAGGGCCCAAGGTTCTAAGCGTAAGCAGTAAGAAATAGACCAACCACAATCGATCATTATAAGAATAACCGATTATGGTTGGTCCATTTTTTACTGTTTACGCTTACAACTTTAAGCCAGCGGCACACGGTGCTTGTTTTCGTGCTGGATTGCTTGCTAAATGAAAATACTGCGTTCTGATTGGTACATTTCCGAAGATGGATGGAAATGCACCAATCAGAACGCAGTATTTTCATCCAGCAAGCAATCCAGCACGAAAACAAGTACCGTGTGCCGCTGGCTTTATTCTTGCAGCCATTGTAGATGGATTTTAAGAGTAAGGGCCAGAGCACAGACTTCTGCATAACGCATAATACACAACGCATAAGAGAATCAACCAATCAGAGTTCTTCATTTCTGTCCTGAGGAGGGAAATGAAGAAAACTAATTGGTTTATTCTTTTATGTGTTATGTATTATGTGTTATGCAAAAGCCTGTGCTTTTGCCTTAAGGCTGTAAGACTGTAACGTAAGCTGTCAGCGAATGAAAATATTTCATTTCGTGTCTTGCAACCTTACAGCCGTACTCTTAAGGCTCGTCTACATTAGCTGTAAGAGTAAGACTGTAAGGTTGCAAGACACGAAATGAAATATTTTCATTCGCTGACAGCTTACGTTACAGCCTTACAGCCTTATTCTTACAGTGTTAATGTAGACGAGCCTTTACAGCTATTGTAGACGAGCCTTAAGGCCTGGTCTGTAATATGTGTCGTAAGTTGTAAGCCGTAAGAATTGGCGAATCATAGTCGATTATTACAAAAATAATCGGCTATAATTGATCAGTTCTTACGGCTTACAGCTTACAACACATACTAAAGGCCCATCTACAATGGCTGCAAGAATAAGGTTGTAAGCGTAAGCAGTAAGAAATAAACCAACCATAATCGATTATTCTTATAATAATCAATTGTGGTTGGTCTATTTCTTACTGCTTACGCTTAGAACCTTGTCCTTGCAGCCATTGTAGATGGGCCTTTAAAGCGTGGTCTACAATGGCCGTAAGTAGTAAGAAGAAAGCGTGAACAGTAAGAAATGGACCAACCACAGTTAATTACTTTTGTCATAATCGACTGTGATTGGTTTATTTCTTAACGCTTACGCTTACTTCTTACTGCTTACTGCCATTGTAAACCACGCTTAAGAAATGAACCAACCACAGTTGATTATTTTTGTCATAATCGACTGTGATTGGTTTATTTCTTACCGCTTACGCTTACTTCTTACTGCTTACTGCCATTGTTGACCACGCTTAAAGGCTCGTCTACATTAGCTGTAAGAGTAAAGCTGTAAGGCCCAGTTCCACAACTTGCTTTAAACGGAGTTTAAAGCAAGTTGTGCAACTGGGCCTAAGGCTGTAACATAAGTTGGCAGCGAATATTTCATTTCGTGTCTTGCAACCTTACAACCTTAAGGCTCGTCTACATTAGCTATAAGAGTAAGGCTGTATGGCTGTAACATATGCTGTCAGCGAATGAAAATATTTCATTTCGTGTCTTGCAACCTTACAGCCTTACTCTTACAGCTAATGTAGACGAGCCTTCACTCTTATAGCTAATGTAGACGAGCCTTTAGGTTGCAAGACACGAAATGAAATATTGACTACGTTTACACAGCCCAATTTACTCCAAAGTTATAACATCGATGTTATAACTACTGACGTTAGATGCCGTGTAAACACTCCTTTTTTTTTATCACGCAGGGGAAATCCATCATGGATACTCTCGCCCTTTGGGGGGATGGGGGTTATGTCGGACTCCTACTAACTAAAACCCCTGCGGGATGTCTACCTGTCGGACCGGTGAGAGGGGAGTCAGAGGAACTACTCCCGTATTCCCTCCCCAACCCCCCGGCCCCAGGGCTACAAACCGGGAGCCCCTCGCCTCTGTTCCGCGCCCCCTTTCCCCGTTCCGGGGAAATTAGTCGGAGGGCGCGGTCCTCGACGGGTTGCCCCGCCGGTTGGCCTTCTGGTTGCTCCTGAGGAGAGAGGGGACATCCACCCTCCCTCCTTACCCCCCTCCGTTTATCGGAGGGGGAGGATTTTGGGGGAGTGGTCCCAGCCCCAACTGGGGTGCCACTCCCCCTTTTCTCTACCTGTCCGACCGCTCGGGGGGCAGGGATTCCCTCCCTACTCCCCCCCGCGGCCGGAGACGGGCCGGAGGCGGCCGAGGAAGTTCCCCGCCCGTGGGCGGGTGCCCTCTCCTCGTCCGACACTACCTAGGGTTCGCTGGCGAACCCCCCCCCCCGGGGAACGTAGACCCAGGCGTCGCCTCCTGCGACGCCTCCCCGGCCGACGCCCCCACTTGGCGGTCTCCTTCTGGGACATTACTCTCCTACAGAAGGAGACCGCCGCTGACCACGCCTCCTCGCTCCCGCACATAGCTTTCACCATGTGCGGGAGCGAGAGCTCTTCCCCGTGGTATCCCACCGCCCTAGCGAGGACACGGCGCTCCCCGGCCCATGCTGGGCACGCGGCCAGGGTGTGATGCGCCGTGTCTTCGCGTACAGGGCAGTGGTGGCACCGGGTGGTGGGCTCCTTCCTTATCCGGTGCAGGTACCTACCGAAGCATTCGTGCCCCGTCAGTACCTGCACCAGGTGGAAGGACATTCCACATCCCCTCCTGTCTGTCAGTTCAGACAGACAGGGGCGGACAGCCTCGGCCGTCGCGAGCCCGGGAGTCGGACAAAATGTCCGTCCACCTCTTCTGGGTCCGGGCTCTGGCCTGGAGATTCAGGGCCGCCAGGCCCCTGGCCGTGAGTTTCCCCTCCTCGCGGAGCTCACTTACCTTCCAGAAGAGGATGCGCCTCTCCTCGGCGAGGAGCTCCACGGGAGGGACACCGGCCAGGGTGGTCGCCGCCATGTACGACACGGTTCGGTACCCCCGAATCGCCTTGATTAACACGGGCCTCAAGGCCTGCCGCAACACACGTTATCTGCTGCGGCAGGCCAGGAGCTATGACGCCCAAAAGGGCGCCCTGTACAGGGCGATTGAGAGCACCGCCGTGACGTACAGGCGGCGGGCCCTCCAGCCTGGGCCCCCTTGGACGCGCATCAGACTGGCTACGGCCTGTCCGGCCTTGCGCACCCTGGGGACCAACTGCCTGAAATGCGGCCCTAATCTCCACCAGCTGTCCAACGTCAGGCCGAGTTATTTCATCGTCGGCCCGACGCGGATGTGGACGCCATTAACCAGGACCTGTGTCTCCGACGGCGCCCCTCGACTGCCGTCGTGAAAATACACGGCCTCAGTCTTCTGGGGCGCCACCTTGAGACCCAGGTCCCTGATGGTTCCCACCACCGATGCCAGCGCCGCTTCCGCCCGGAGGCGAGCCTCCCCCCAGCTCTCCCCCCCGGCTGCCACTAACGTGTCATCCGTGTAGCAGATGACGTGGTAGCCCGGGGGGAGCGCAGTTCGCAGCACCCGGTCGAACGCGATGTCCTATAGCAGTGGACCGAGAACGGAACCCTGCGGGACACCGCGCGCCGGCCCTGGACCCCGTCCTCCACCGGGAAGGCGAGGTCCCTGCCCCCGAAGTAGGCCGACAGGATCCGCCAGAGATAGACGAGCACCCCGTGATGCACAAGGGCCCGTCCGATCTCCGGCCAGGGCAGGGTGTTGGAGGCGTTGGTTATGTCGAGCGACACCGCCAACAACACCCCGCCCTCCCCCTCCACGACCCTTCGGGTCAGGTCCCGGAGACACTGGATGGCGTCCAGCGTCGATCTTTCAGGCCTGAACCCGAACTGGTGGTCGTGGAGGTTCGGCTCTTCTGAGGACAGATGTTGGACGAGGCGGTCGGCAATGATGCGTTCAAGCACTTTGCCCACCTCGTCCAGCAGGCATATCGGCCTGTAGGCCGACGCACTCCCGGGTGCCTTGCCCTCCTTGGGGAGGAGGACCAATATGGCCCTCCTCCATTCTGGGGGGGAAGACCCCCTCCCTGAGGCACCCACTCATCACCCTGCGCGTGGCCGCGAATAGGTTTCCCTCGCCGAGGGCGAGGGCCCAGGCCCGGCCAAGGATCCCGTCGGGGCCAGGGGCTTTCCCCTTGGCCCCGAGCCTCTATCTGGCCCTGGCAAGCTCCTCTTGACTCACCTCCAGACCCTCGTCCCAAGCCCCCTCCCCCAATTCGGGGGTGGGGATCTCAGGAGGGCCCCCTTCAGCCCTCGGGAAGAGGGCTTCCAAAAACCCCTCGAGGGTCCTGAGGCTTAACGTCTCCGCCGGCAGGGGCGCCTAGGGACGGATTTTACCCATCATCTTCTTGCATGGGCGCTCCCACGGATCGTCG